TGATCTGGTTGATCTGGATCTATAAAGTGACCTGAGATGACAGGATGGGAATTGGAGCTATAGAAATAAACTGAATAGAACTGAACAGGAAAGCTGTTTAAACTGTCTTTGCTTCCAACTCCATTTATTTTCTTAACTCCATCTGATGCTCGCCTACTTTTCTCCTTATTTCAGATGAACCTCTTTGCTGTTTCTATTCTGAATCCTCAAATTGATGCTGCTTGTTGGTGAGAAGCGAAATTCAAAGCACTGCTTTCTATCTTCCTCTGAAGACTGAGATAAAACAGCTAAAGCGGCTAAAGTGTCTTATTTGGATCAAACTGTGAAGATGTTGGATTGATCTCATGTTTATGCTGGTTTGGACACCGTTTCCCAGCATCCCACAGGCGGCCGCCCTGCAGCAGATGCTGGGTTGCTGCTTGTCTTTGTGCTGCAGGAAGATTTCCAGCAGCTTTATTAAATGTTTGGGGAAAACCTGATTAGAGCGGAGAAAACAGTGAACGTCAGCGAGAGGAGGAGGAGGAGAGAGCCGTTACCGTGGACAGGCTGCTGATGGTGCATTTGAGGCTCTGCAGATTATCCAGCACCGTCTCACCGGCGAGCAGAGAGAAATCCTTCAGGCAGCTCCACTCCACTGCACACACACACACACACACACACACACACACACACTGGGTTAATTACGCCAGAGGTGTTAGCAACAAGCTGCATTTTCTTTCATTACAGATCAATAGTTCCTCCTGAGGCGCTGAGATCATCGTTAACCTTCTCATTGTTTGGCACAAAGCCTGCAGCCGTCGCTGACTGTGAAACATGCCCACTGATCTTTCTCACAGCAGACAGGTTTCTCCTTTTTATTCACCCTCACTGAGCAGGAGGTGAAAGGAGGAACCTCTGCTGGGCAGAACACCAGCAGAAACTGGGTGCTCCACAGAACCCAGCACCAGACTGGGAACTGAGAGAAAACCCAGAAGCTTCCTGACTTCAGTGCAAACAGAAACTCAGAGCCTTTCTGACTAAAATGAAATAAAGATTAAAAGTTTATCAGATGTCGAAGCCAATAATTAGAAATCCTCCTGAAATTTTGTCTGTTTCTGTAGCAAACAGTAAAGAAGTTGTGCGGTAGATCAGCTCTGACGTTCAGAGGCAACAGGTGGGTCTGCAGGATCCCAGAACGAGGCAGAAGGTATCCAGATATTTAGACCCTAAAGCCCCATTTAGACCAACCTCTGAGAACCGATCCGTGCCAAGCTTGGATCAGCTAACGGTGCTGAGCTCAGTCACGCCATGCTAGCACCATTCCTCCCCTCCTAGTGGCAATCTATGGTACTACTGCTCTCTAGAGCGGAGGTCTTCAACAGG